TTTTTTTATTGCAGTTGTCGTTGTTGTTTGGCAGGCCCAGACTGGATTCGAACCTGCCAGCTCTGGTGTATGTGGCTGGAGCCTTAGCCGCTTGAGATACGGATGCCAAGCCAAAAAATCAATTTCTTACTTGTTATAAGTTTATTCAGATTTTCTACTTCTTTTTTATTTTTTTCTTTAACCAGAGTCACTGTAGAAAGATTTTCTATTTCTTCTTGAATCAGTTTGTGTCTTTCTGGGAAGTTGTCCATTTCTTTTAGGTTATTTATAGTTATTAGTTCTCATTTAGATTATCTAATTTGTTAACATATAAACTTTCATAATATTGCCTTATGGTCCTTTTCATTCCCATAAGATTAGTAGTGTTGTCCCTTCTTTTATTTCTGATTTTAGTAATTTGAGTCTTTCTTGGTCAGTCTAGTTAGAAGTTTGTTGTTTTTTGTTTTTTTTCAAAGAATCAACTTGTTGATAATCAAATGTTGATTATCTCCATTTTTTATTTTCTATTTCATTTGTTCCTACCCATATCTTTATTACTTCTGTCTTTCTGCTATCTTTGGGTTTAGTTTACTCCTCATTGTCTAGTTTCTTAAGGTGGAAGTTTACTGATTTGAGATGCTGCTTCTTTATTCACACAGATATTTATAAATGTCCTGTACATTTGCTACATCCATAAATCTTGGTAAATTGAATTTTTATTTCATTCATCTCAGAGTACTTCCTAATGTTCCTCATGATTTTTTCTTTGAGATAGCAGAGTTTTATACATTTTAAGTGGTCAAGAAAAACATAAATACTATAATAAATACGACATTGCTTTGAAAAGACCTAAATTTGCTTGAGGCCATGGGTATTGGAGGGTGCAGCTTACAAGTTATTATGAGGAGGTAAAAGGTAGGACATCTGAGAACATACAGAACTTGTAATGCTAGATGTGGATGGATGTGCCTCATAACACATCAGGAAATGTGGTTGATGGCAGGTGTTTGAGCTGTGTGCATATGCGTATTTTGTGTATTCCAGACAGGTATAGTTTTCTGTATTCACTTAGTGTTTCTTGCAGACAAAACTGCATATAAGCAAATGCAAAAACTTTCATGTTATGCTCACTTGTTTCCTGTCATATGCACCACACAAGGACAAATTCACATTTCTACAACAAGTGTTCTGGGCTCAGCACCCGTAGCACAGTGGTTACAGTGCCAGCCACATACACTGAAGGAGGCAGATTTGAACCCGGCCCAGGCCAGCTAAACAATGATGACAACTGCAACAAAAAATAGCCGGCCGCTGTGGCAGGCACCTGTAATCCCAGCTACTTAGGAGGCTGAGGCAAGAGAAGGGCTTAAGCCCATGAGTTTGAGGTTGCTGTGAGCTATGTGGTAACAGCACTCTACTGAGGGCAACACAGTGAGACTCTGTCTCAAAATAAATAAATAAATAAATAAAACAAGTGTTCTGGTGGAACAGACTGTACCAAGCAGCTACAAGGCATCTCTAGTTTTGCCCTAAAACTTTATCTCTCACTCCCTGCATCTAGTCCAGTGGAAAGTTCTCCAGAATGTACCCTAACCCACCCACTCACATCCACCTCCACATCCACCTCCACCTCCACCTCCACCTCCACCTCCACGAATCCAATCTGCCATATTTTCTAGTCCAAGAGAACTGAGGACAGACTTGCAGTTTCTCTCTCTGATCCTCTGTCTCTTGTAGTTCATTCCTCATGCATTGGCTCAACTGAGCTTATAAAATCACAGATCAGATTACATTTACATGCCCCCCCCCACCTATAACCCTCTACCTGCTCCCCTATCTGATCAAGACTCCACCTCATGGCCAATGAGGCCTCCACTGAAATGATCATCACTATCCTCTGACTCACTCTCCACACTTCACTGTGCTACAGCCATGTCCAAGGACCTCCTTTCTGTTTTTCTGACATGAATTTTCATGCCAAAGATTTTGATTTAAAATTGTCTTCCCTCGTTCCTCATTATGTTGGCTCAAATGTCATCTCAGAGAGGTCCTGAGTAACCAACTCTTCCTGCTTTATCTGGGAATTTCCCAGTCTTAGCAGTAAAATTCCCTGTCCTGGGAAACCCCTCAGTTTTGGTTGGTCACCCTAGAGAGGTCATTCTTGGCTGCTCTAAGATAAGCCTCACCAACTCTCCCCCCAAGTCACTACTATCTCACTCTTCCTATTGATTTTGGGATTATAACAGTTTTACCTGTGTCTGTAGAATCTAGCAAATAGTAGGCACTTAACAAATAATTTTGTCTAAATTAATAATGGAATAAAAAGGATTGATTATTCCGGACTGCTGGAGCTTAAGACTCTCTCACATGAAAATCTTTGAGAAGTAACCCATTAGAAAATGGTGAAATCAATTTAGTAAATCACTATCAACATTTTAACTTAAATGAAAGAGAACAGGAAATGCCAAAATTCATTGCTTTAAGTATCACTTCAGGAAAATTTGATTTTAGTTATTGATGTGTTTCTGTGGACTGGACCTCTGAGTAAAATATATTTCCTGCTGCTACTGGGGTTGCTGAGGTTCCTCCAGTCTCTCACAAACTGTTTGACCCTGGGAAAATGTTCTCATTCTCCCTTGGCCTCTGTTTCCTGACCTGTAAAATGGGAATAATGCTTCCTATCTTTTTCAGGATGTGATTTTTAAGATTTAATGAGTTAGCGTTATAAAAATGCTTAGATCACTTTGTGGCACCTAGGAACAATTTAATCAATGCTCCCTAATATGATTTCTTGTTGAATGAATAAAAGGGCCTGACTCTAATCTTCCCTTGGGTAGCCCTGGCTGCCTCTTCTCAGGACAATCCTGTTGCTCCCACGGGTCGGTCTTTTTTCTCAAATAACTAACTACATATGTTTATTTATTCTATTTATTGTTACTATCCCTCACTATAATAAAAGTTCTATGAGGTTCTGGCTGGTTCAGTCGTATTCTGAATCTACCCCCTTAGGGAAAAGGGGAAGTGGGACAAACATTTTCTGTAAAGGAGCATATAGTAAATATTTTAGGCTTTGCATATGCCATGTGGTCTTTAACCAACTCAACTCTCCACTGCCAACTCCTATAGTGTAAATCAGCCTCCCACCTTGCACAAATTCATGAAGTAGGGGGTGTGTTCTAATACAACTTTATTTACAAACACAAGATGACTGTGGTTGCAAGGCCACAGTTTGCCAACCCATAAACTAGTTGGAAATACTGGCCTCAAGAAATTAAAATCGAGTTTCTTATAATGTTCACACACCACAGTCTTCTTTTGATTATTTTCTTTAACTATGTAAAAATATCTTTAAAATTCTCAGTTTGTGGGCCATGAAAAAACAAGGCAGTATTTCGGAGTCTGCCGACCCCTAAGCAGAGTGTACCCTACGTGTCCAGTATTCCGCCTGTGGACTAGACGAAGACCCCCTGCAGTCCCTAAAATTCGGGACTTCCACCCCTCAACACGCGCCACGGATCCAACGGCTTGCGCGCGCGCGCGGCTCCCCTCCGTCAACCCTCCAAGCCGCGAGCTCCTCCCATCAGATCCCGCCCTCCTTCACGATGATTGGCTGAGTCCCCCCTCGTTCTGGTGGGGGCGTTCTCTGACAAGCACCGTGGGTAGCCAATGGGACGTCGTAAAATGTTGTGCCCCGCCCTCTCCGCGCCCGTTGGAGGCGGTGTGGGCGGGCCGTTGGATGGGTGGGGCGAGGAGCCTGGTAACCGTTGCTGGTAACAACGCCCCGCCCCGCAGCGCCGGGCGGGAGGGCA